TTTTTTTCACTTCACACACTTGTTTGGTCGTCGTCTCCAGTACACATAAACCAAGTCGCTGTCATAGGTGGTCGTCTTCGGTAATGGATTATGCATATAATATTTTTTTTTAATTTTTTTAAAAAATAAATATATAAATTTATTTTAATTAAAATAAAAATACTATCATTCTTACTCTTACCCCACTTCTCCACCAAACAAAGGGGCCACCGACCCCAAAATGGAGGAATAAAAAAAATATTTTTTAATTAGCCTTTAATTAGTTAATACTAAATTAATGCACGGTACACACATGCATATAGCATCACTTAAAAATTATGATTACATCACCTTAGCAATCCATAGAACTAACACAAAGACCAATGTTCCATTTGGGATTCCAATGTCATAAGTCGTCATTGACCTGCCTTCTTATCTATAGAAAGAAAGAGATAAGTAATTAGCCTTTAATTATTAAATTAATGCATAAAACCTAAGAAAATTAGCCTTTTAATTAGTTAATTAGTTAATAACAAATTAATGCACAGAACCTACACACCGGCATATAGCATCCGTTGAAATTATGATTACATCCCTTGGCACTAACACAAAAGGCCAATGTTCCATGTGAGATTCCAATGTCATGAGCCGTCTTTGACCCGCCTTCTTATCTTTCGAAAGAGAGAAAAAATAAGCCTAAGAAACAAATTAGCTAGCCTAAGAAACAGATTAGCTAGCTCCACCTTCCTCACCCAACATTTCTTCCAGAAACTTTTGTTTTCTTTCTATCCCCGCTTTTCTTCAAGGGGCAATCATGGAACACTCAGAAAAACAACAGAAGATAAAAACTCAGGCTATGGTATTTTGGTTTTGGCATTTCATCGAACATTTTCAAGGCATTTTTACCCAAAAGCAATAAAAAATTAGACAAATCAAGAACCCAGATCATGAATAGAAAATTCTTTCAAATAATAGTCCTCAAAATTCAAAAAAACCACAAATCATGGCATAACGGAATTTTAGATGAAAACTCAATTTAGAAATTTGCTCAGAATCAAGAAAAATTGCAACTTACATGGACAAAGTCACAAATACCTCAATTTGCAAACTCCATTACATCCAAGACCTCACCATACCTTTTTTTTTTCAGCCATCCCACCTCACCAAACAAAGGATGCATTTTACAATCAAATCTAAAATGTATTCCAATTTTATACACTTGGTATTTTTGATATACTACTTTTAGAAAATTAATAATGGCCATTTACAAACTTAGAAAATAATAAAACAAAAAAGAAAAGAAAAGAAAAACCTACTAAAGGGGAGAGACCTAAAATTACGAAATTTCACATTTATTTCCAGAGCTCCACACATCAAGCAAAAAATCATCTCCATTAAGGCAATGGCTCAACAGAATATCTGAAAATGGCCCATTGTAATCTGTCTATAGGTCTTTAGAAAATGGCTCACAAGTCACAATCCATCATCAACGATCCGAAATTACATGCAATTAAACCTAGCTAGAGGCGACAGTCCAGTACCTAGTACTTAGTATAGTTATAAATACCAGCAGCATGCTAGCATAGGCAATTGCGAAATATGTAAAAGGTTACTTAGGAAGCTTATGCAGTGCATACACTGACCCCAGCAGATATTACATAAGAGCTTCATGTAGAAATGTAAAACAGCTTATATGTTGCGCCCTAAGGCTAATAAAAGTTAACCCAGGATTATAACATGAACAGTATTATTCTTCTCAATATGAAGCCATGGACGATCTTGATAGAAGGAATCTCACTCAATTTTGTCCAACTTCTCCATTAACAGTGCTACATCTGGGGGTATCCTTGATAAGGCTATTGAAGCAGAGGACAGGAAGCATGGCGACTTTCTGAGACTGGTAAAGCCCCCTGATCCTGTTCATTGTTAGATTTTTAATTTTTACATTCCGACCTAAGCATAAAACGAAAAGTTTCCAAAACACCATCCTTATGTTGAATATCAAGGTTAGAAGCTAATATATGCTTCCTTGTTTCTGTGAATCCCACTGGAGCAGGAGCATTTTGAGGGCTACCTTGAATTGTCAGCCAAGACAAAGATATACTTTGCCACCGCTGTTGCTTTATGGGATGCAGATTTCTATGTCAAAGTGGATGATGATGTGCATGTAAACATAGGTAAAGATGAATCTATTCATTAATTCTATTTTCTGCTACTGTGTCTCCCATTCCCCTTCTTCCATGCACACTTTTCAAAATTGTACTCCAGGAAAATGAACTTCAAGATTACAGCGAATATTTTCTAGAGCCAATGTTATCTTTTAACGTGGCCAGAAACCTTGAGTTTCCTTTAGAGCTTAAAGTTTTTGTAATGACAACTTAAATGGGACTTTATGCATATTCATGATGTGTCTAAATAATGTTTCCTTGTTTTAGTGCAATTAAACTGGATATTACTCAAAACATAGTCTCTCTCTTTTTCATTTTTAATGACTAACTTGAGGTATACTGTTACAGCAACACTTGGGGCAACTTTGGCTAGACATCGGTCCAACCCCAGGGTCTATATTGGTTGCATGAAATCTGGTCCAGTTCTTGCTCAGAAGTAATCTATGAAAGCTCAACATCGTCCATTTTTATCCTGTGTGTTTTATGTTTTCATTTAGCTATTTTCTCATTTTTGGGCCCTTCATGAACAGGGGAGTGAGATACCATGAACCTGAGTATTGGAAATTTGGAGAGGAGGGAAACAAGTATTTCCGTCATGCTACAGGGCAGCTATATGCTATATCTAGAGATTTGGCTTCTTACATATCGATTAACCAGTAAGTTCTGATATCTTGTGAAGTCAGTTATTCATATATCAAATTATCCACAACTTATGAAATGATAATTTTGCAGGCATGTGCTGCACAAGTATGCCAATGAAGATGTTTCACTAGGATCCTGGTTTATTGGATTGGACATGGAGCATATAGATGACCGTAGACTGTGCTGTGGTACAGCAGGTAATGTCATGAACTAAAATGAACATAAGTAGAAAAATGAATAACTGTTGATACTAGAAGTACTTAATATTATCCAGCAAGAATAATTTGGATTATTAGTTTGATACTACCAAATATTGACTGCAGATTGTGAGTGGAAGGCTCAGGCAGGGAATGTCTGTGTTGCCTCATTTGATTGGACCTGTAGTGGGATCTGCAAATCAGTCAAGAGGATGAAGGATGTTCACCGAGGGTGTGGAGAGGGTGAAAATTCACTATGGCATGCAGTTTTTTGAAAAACAATATTGCCTCCAAACTCAGGGGGATGCATGTAGGTGGGCCAAAAAAAGAGAGGAAACACCCAGATTTCTCGAGCTGGTTCGAGCAATTTGTATACAGAAAATGAATGTAATTTCAAAATGTAAGACAACATAGAATCGGGAGGGAGAAAGGTTCATGCAGCCTAAGTTTCTTCTCCATTTTGTAGGAGGAAGAGACCCCAATAGCTGTAGTAATGAGAGAGAGTGTGTTTGTAATTAGCCATTCTTCAATTGCTTCCAGTGGGGCATTTTGTATGTCAACTCCACAATAAGTGCCGATATTTGTGCTACCATTTTCTTCATGTACAGGTTTTCTCTTCAACTTTTGATCTGTAATTTGCCATTTTTTCATCATTCTCTCCTTTCTCTCCTTTGATGTTCTCTTTCCATCGCTTTCCCGGAGAAAAGATTTATGAATCAATGTAGTTAAGTCCGTCTTGTGGCCATATGAGTGAAGAACCCTAGGAATGTACGTATAGGATAGGATGGATCCAAAACAACAGTCAAAGCGCTCACCAAAATCTTTCACTCGGAGAGACGAAATCTAGTTGGTTGATTCTTTCAGAGCCAAGAAAAGGGGAGACCACACACCTATAAGACATGGAATCAATCATGGAATTTTACACAAGATAATCCTAAAAAAATAATGTAACATCATTTCTCATCTGAAAAAGCAGAACCACTGCTTCTCACTCCTTCCAATAAAATCTCCCCACATTCGTTCCCACTTCTGAGACCCTTCCAACTTTCTAGCCCTTCCTTTCACACTGAGGAGGATTATGTTTTACCTAACACCAAATACCCATAATATAAATCCAATATCCTCCTAATCATTTTCTTCCCCATTTTCTCATTAAAGTTTCAATTCTTTTTGTACCTGAGTTTGGCTTTTTGCTCTACATTGAAAGATGAGAAGCAATCTGGAGAACAACAGCTCAAATACCCACATCCCAATCCTCAAGTTCTTGGATTGTTCTCTGAGGCTTTCTGTGGTTCCTCTTAGTGTTGCAACAATATGGATAACTGTGACTAATGACCAGGAAAACAGCACCTATGGAACCATAAAGTTCAGCAATCTTTTGGGACTCAAGTAAGAAATCTTGCCTTCTTTTATGTTCTAGCATTGTTAATTGCTTTTCTGCTTGTTTCCCTAAGAAAGTATTGAAATGGTTTTTCACAGGTATATGGTGTTAATTTCTGCCATATGTGCCCGTTATGCTTTTGTCGCAGTTGTGGCTTCATGGTTCAAATGCTTAGTTTCCAAAGCTTGGATTTTCTTGGTCTCAGATCAGGTTTTCCCTCAACATAACTTCTGTTGGATTTTTGAGGGTAAGAAGGGAGGGATTGAGAGAGGACTTGGAGGAGAGGTAGAGATATCTGGAGTTTCCTCTTTTGGTGAGGTCAGAACCCATTTTCTTCCATTGATATTCTGCTATTTATAGCAGAAACAACACAACATAACATAGAACATAAAAGCCATAAACATGGAAGGGTGCAGACATTCACCCAACCG